AAATGTTGGTGCTTAGTTTTTACAAGCTAGTCATTCCTAATAGGRGTAAAAATGATTCTGAGATATTCTGTCATCTTACATTTTTATATATTTTTCATTATATATTGCATTTCTCAGGAGGAGCAGGCACTTTTAGTTGTGAGTCTAATATTACCGTAGAGATAACGTCATCCTATTAATTATGCAGGGGTTATTAGTGCCTTTGTTATTTTCCCAAGGTCATTTTTACTCCTAATTATTATATCTAGTTTGTGGTTTTATCCCATCTTAAGTTTTGGAAGAACTTTTGCCTAATATCATTTTAGATTCCATTATAGAAGAGAGATAGCTCAACCATCCTAAGATTTAGGAAATATGTCTGATAAAAACTTGTGTGAGCAACAGTTAGTTCTTAGTAAGGATTCATTAGGAATAGGCCTGTCTAGGGAAATGTGTGTTTWAAAAAAAAAAAAAAAAGTTTTCCTTTGTGTAGTCCATATCAGGACTGAATCATCTTAATGATCACAGATGAAAAGAAATAAATTCTTTTACAAGAATCTCTTGAGCCAAAACTTATGACTGTCCTAGGAATTTTCTAGACAGCACTTCTCCTTTGCAAGAAGAGAGCTTTCAGGTCTCCCCAGAGGCCTCTCCTTGTCAAGTGGACCATCTGGGGGTGGGAATGGGAGAGCTATTTCAGTACTAGATGAGTCCCCACAGAGCAACAAAAGTGAAAGAGACATGATATCTCTTCTCTGAAGCCCGCTTCTTCCATCTTTTTAAGCATTTTTAAATAGATTTTTTTTTTAAAAAAAAAAAAACTTACTGAAACAATGTAAGTATTAAGGAAGCACATTTCTGAAACTTAGAGTCGCAGCCTCTTTGCTCTGGGATTTGAGATAAGTTACTGAGAATCTCGATTTCCTCATATGGAAAGGTGGATGATATTTGCATTGCAGGAATTGTTTTTAACCATCTATTAAATAAAGTGACTGCTTTGCCTGAGACATATCATTGAATACATTTAAGCTACTTATATAGACGTAGAAAAGTCAGGGGTCCAACTGAGAAGGTCCAACTGAATTAAAACTTATAACTAAATTATATGCTGTCATCAATATGGAAACGTCTGTATTTTAGTCTTGCTTTACACCATGTACTTAATGTGTAGGCAATATTTATGAGGCTCTAGTAATTTTATCACTATTTATATTGGTATCTTAGCTGTTGCCACAATGATGCTCTATAACAAACCACTCCAAAACTTCATGGCTGTGAGTAATTATCWCTGTACTTGTTTCTGCATGTGTGGGCTGAGTGGGGCCCAGCTGACCTCAGCTGGGCTTAGCTCAAGATGCAGATTCAGTCTAGATAGGCTCCACATGGCTTCTTCCTGTTAAACCCAGGGGTTGGCAGCCCATATGCCTTTGCATTGTGATACCATCTTCCAAGAAGACCAGCCCCACAGCAGAGCACATCTCAGGCCTTTCCTTGTGTCATATCCACTCCCACCCCAGGAGCCAAATCGAGATATATTGACAGCCTGATAGCCTGAAATGAGAAAGTATGTTCTACTCATAGCAGGAGGAAGAGGGGAGTGAGTATTTATTTGCTGTACAATAATTCAACCTATTGAAATGATTCTCACCATTATAATTATTACTAATTGCATTCAGGCTACATTGTTTCAAATGTTTCTTTTTCACTTTTTTTCTTCTTTTTTTTTTTTTTTTATTTGCCTTTCTTTCTTACTTCTTTCCTTTCCTGGACTGGGATTTGAACTCTGGGGCATTTTATCACTGAGCTATATCACCAGTCCTTTTTATTTTGAGACAGGCTTACACTAAAGTTGGGAGGCTAGTCTTCAGCCCCCTGAGTTGCTGAGATTACAGGGTTCTAAGCGCAGTGACTGCAGGCTGTGGCTGATTGGCTTCTGTGGTGTTGGTGGAGCTTGGCTGATTTTTGGCAATGTGCACGTGGTCTTGTCATAGACCTTACTCAGTGATGAGTTAATCCTGTCAGTCTGCCCCCTCATGGTCAATATGTCATCCCTGATAAACACATACTCGTGAAGAGCTTTAAAGCACATTGGTGCTTCTCTGGAACCATTAATAATCTTGTCTAGCTGAGGGTGTTTTCCACCTGTTCTATCAATCTGCTTCATTAGGTCTAAATTCCCATCCGTCCCTTCACAGTGTATGTTTGTACTGCTCGCTTCATCTCTGCGTGAGAGTTTCATCTCTCACAGAAGGCAGAAAGTTCAGGAGCGTGTTCAGCATCGTGACAGGTGGATTGGAAATCCCTGCATCATACCTAGCGAATTGTTTTGATGCAAGTACTTTATGTCCATGATACATTTTTGTGTAGTCATCAGAGGAAGCTCCTGAAATGCATTCACCTCGCAGGWTGGACTTGCCACTCACCACCTTGAAGTGCTTATTTTTTTTGTCCGACTTTTCCTTTTTACCTCCATATGACCCCAAACAAATCAATCAGAAGCCCTCTGATTGAAAAGTTTTCCAATGCATGATGTGACACAAACAGAATCTTTAAAAAAAAAAAAAAATTCTGTGTATTCCTCTGAATGTACAACAACTGGGAGTCTCACTGAGGTTCCAGCAAGGAAATCCAGTTTGAGCAGGCATGTGGGCTGCCCTGGCTTTTGTGCTAGAGGGCAGCAAGTGGACTGACAAGGTTTGCCCTCCTCCTTGCATGCAGACGGCATTGTCTATTTTATAGACAAAATAAAATTTTTTTCATGCAGAAGTGGGAGGAGAGGTCCGTTTCAGCTGCCATTGATGAAAATCAAACTCCCAATGTCTGATGGCAGGCTGCTATTTCACGCTCTGCCGTTTTTGTTTCAACAGAAATTCAGTTTGTTGTTTTTGCTGGCAGGGCTTGCCTGTTGTGAAGTAGAGAGACGGCTGCATTTAGCGAGGGCCTCCGCATTCTTTGCTTACATTCAAATTCGTGTCATGGTTATGGTGCTTCAGATTTATTAAATAGAAACACCTTCACGTAGGCTGGGAAATAGAATCATGAATAACATCGGAGCCTTGAAGAAATGCCAGCCAACTTTAATGCCGGTCTCTAGGTACCCACTTTGTATGCTTTGGGAGCTCTTGACCCACATTACATATCAAATACAGTTATTCTTTATAACAGCCAGGATCAYTGTTTATCAGCCCCATGTGAAGCATGCTTTTCTTCAGGTTTCTTTCTATGTATACATTTAACAGAATGAAATCTCTGCCCATAATTTTAATTGAAAAGCAGATAGGTATAGGTGAAGCAAAAGTGTCCTGGAAAAGTTTATTTTGGGCTCCCCTCCCTTTTATTTATTTATTTATGTTTTACCAGGAAACACCAAACTTTCACGGCCTTATTCTCCCCATGGAAGTGGTCTTTTTAAAGTCAGTGTGCAACGGGCCTAAGATCCAAACTTGAATAATGTGATGAAAACTTTCTTTTTTCCTTTTCTGATACTTAAGAAACTCAATGAAATCTAGCGTGACTTTAGAAGGCAAATTGTTCCCTGTATTTTAAATGGGTAAAATCATAACGGCTGCAGTCATACCCTCTGGTCTTAAAACATCTCGAGATGGAAAATGAAGTTTTTTTGATATGTTTTCTTGCTCAGTCATGAATATAGAGGGGCCAAAACTTTGTGATAGATATCTGACTTTTATCAGTTTCTCATTTCTTCTTGGCTTCTAGCAAGCTTGGAGGTATTTAAATCACTTAGTGCTGTTTTGTAACTTAGACGCTTCTCCTACAGCTAAGAATGCGCTTTCTATGGAAGTGATGGCAATTTGTTTGTGAACTGCCTGGAGCCTGGCAGATCACAAGGCCATGGGAGATTTGAAGTGTAGAGGCARCCCTCCAGGAATCACATGAAATACAATCATTGGGTTTCTAGCACATCTCAGTAATGCCTGATTCTTGAAATTCATAGCCTTTTCCTACTCTCCACTAGATTTCAAAGGTAATGTTGTGTACCTGCCTTAAGGCTGCTTCAAAAGGAGAAATTTACTTCTGCTTAATCAGTCATGGCCCCTGTCACTTTTTCCCATGACTCCAATTCAACATATGTGAAATCTTAAAACACAAAATTGTGATTTTTTTCCCCCAATGAATTATGAAAGCTCATTGGAAAGTGTATCACTTTTTAAAAAGACATATATAAGAGTTTGAAGGAGTAGCACACCTGTAAATATATCAAAATGCCCATTTATAAGCCTTTATTTTATTTTATTTTTTAATTGACTGGGCTGGGTCTTGGTAGACTGCATCAGTTTTGTTACCTAGGTGCATTGCGTGAACGTGCAGAGCACACTCAGTGCTGAGTCTTGTATTTATAATGTCTCAAGTCATCACTTAAGAAGCAGTAGCCGTCTTGTGAGAAGGAAGGCTTGCTTCAATCCCTTTTGAAACAGCGTGTCAGCTTTATTACATTCTTGGTCACCTGGAATAAGGCATCCTGTGCAGCTGTGATGGAGTATTTGCTTAATAAGTGAAACTCATGATGATGAACAGCTATCRTGTTTTCTTTCCCTGTGGGTCCTGTAGGAGACGCTGAGCCAAATGTCTAGACTCCAGAAAGTACTCTCTACTTTGCTTCARATTATTAAATTTCCTCAATTGCCCTTTTCTGTTTTTTACCTTCATTCATTCAGCAGGCTCTTTTCTTTTCTTCTTCTCTTTTTGCTATTGGGGCTTGAACCCAGGAGTGCTTTACCACTGAGCGACAGCCCATACCCTTTTATTTTTTTGAGACAGGGTCTCACCAAGTTCAGCAGCATGTTTTAAGGAYCTGTTCTGTACCAGGCCTGAGCTAAGGTCCAGAGCCTCCACAGGAATAAGGCCCATTTCTTCCCTTCAGCTTGGAAACATAGGTAAAAAGGCAYGTGAGAGTCACATTTGAGTGCTGTGATGGGAGTATTTAAAGGGTGCTGTTGGGCCATTAACACAGGGAAGGGCCTTATCTGCGGGGGCTCCAGGAAGGAAGGGATCCTTGAAAGATGCGTGGCTACTTGCAGGACAAGTGTAAGTCAGGATGTTGTACTCAGACCAGCCTGGACAAGAGGTCTGAGGCAGTTGGATATGTTCCCGGTTGTGTGAGCAATTGAATATGATTGGAATAGAGCTCGCTAGGCAGGCAGGATGAGAAAAGCAACTGTAGGCCAGGATCATGTTGCTGCAGGACACRTGTAACTGTCCAAAGAGTAGATCTTCATTCTCTAATCAGTGGGGAGCTGTCGATAGATTTGAACCTGATGGGCTTTGGGTTTTGCAAAGACTTAGTCATTAGCTATTGGGAGGGTGAAGTAGGTGAGTGTAACAAGGGCCAAGTGCTATCAGGTAGGAAGCTGTTACTGGAGATTTCCTGTGGTGTGGAACATCCTTGTGCCTTGGAGAAGTGGAGGAGGTAGATGCAAGAGCTGTTCATGGAGGAAAGTCTGCAGGGCCTGGAGAGCAGCTGGATCCAGACACTTGTGGCTGGGTGACTGGTGGAGCAGTGGTGTTTGTTATTCTTCAAGGTAAAGGACAGAGAATTGTGGATGTTAATTTTCCTTTTTGAATTTGAAATCTTGAGGTCTGTTCATATGAAAGAGTTATACAGGCATTTAGATCTGTGACTTTGAATCATATATATATATATCTCCAGATATACACACATATACAAACACATATATACGATCTATATGATGTAAATATATATAATGTGTGTGTATTTCCTCTCCCACACAGGGTCTTGCTATTTTGCCCGGTTGGTTTCAAATTCTTGGGCTACAGTGATCCTCCTGCCTCAGCCTCCCTAGTGCTGAGATTATAGGCACACACCACTGGGCCCTTGCCCCTACCCTATGGCTCTGAATCTTAAAAAAGAGTTCTGGGTTAGAGATAGATTTAAGCCAAAATGAAATGATCATGGCTCTCATTTATTGAAAGCATTCTATGTACCAGGCCCTATTTATTTTGCAC